AAGACTCAAGGTTCATCCCACCCCTGAAAGGACCTAATGGTAAAGACTGCAACGATGACACTATTAAAGCCAACCTCTTTAACACATTCTTTGGCTCAGTATTTGTAAACAGCAATGGATCATGCCCAGTATTTCCTAGTCAAACCACAGACAACTACAATGATCTAATACATATCGATTTTATAGAAGACAATGTTGAAAAAGCACTACACAATCTAAAACCATCTCTATCTATTGGACCGGATGGAATATGTGCCTACTTCTTTAAAAAAACTACCCACTGCCATAGCCAAACCTCTAAGCATAATCTTTGAAAAATCTTTCAGGACCAGCTCCTTGTCAAAACTATGGTCACAAGCCACGGTCATCCCCATCTTCAAAAAGGGAGACCCCAGCTTAGTTGAAAATTACAGACCAATCTCCTTATGCTGCGTCCCCTGTAAAGTGATGGAATCAATTATTAACCAATCCATCATCCTCCACTTAGAAACAAACAACCTACTCTCTAATAAACAATTTGGTTTCAGGAAAAAACTATCATGTAATCTGCAATCTTTATATATATACACATATATCCTAATTGCTGCCTTTTAAATAATGAGAATATGTAAGCCCAAGGCAGGACCAAAGAGGTAATCTACTCCCAGGGTCGGGGTTTATAATATGGCTAGAGCTGTGCAAAGAACAAGTTCATGGTTGGGAACTACTCTTTGACCCTCGATCACTCTAGATCTTCACATTAAAAAATGATGGGTGGCAAGGAGTTGTCACTGTAGTACATCTGGTTTATCTGGTACATCCATTGTTATTATTTGGAGTTGGTTTGATCTGGCTGAGAAGGTTTAAAAAGTCATCCCATAGCTGTCCAAGTAACTTTGCTTTATCAAGACAAAAAATTGTTTTTAACTAATTTTATAGTACATTCATTGTCAGACCTGTTGCCATATGCTAAATAAATAAATGTCAGATCTGCAGCTTGCTTAAAGCATGACATCCAAGTTATTAGTTTCCTAAATCAAACGAAGGGGGAGAGGTTAATACCTTTTTGTGCATACAGAGCACTATATATAATGACTTCTTAGTGTGCTTAAAAGCCTATGGTTTGACCTTTCCACTGAAGGTTTAATCATTTTTGAAGACTCCATTTTCACTCTAGTAATTGTCACCATGGCTCATAAATAAAACCTCAGAGGGAGCTATCCAGCCTCTGTGGTCAAGGATAGTAGCACCTTCTCTTCAGAAAAGACAATTGGCTTCTGGTAATTGAAATGAGATAACCACAGCTGATACTCCCATATAGGAAATTAGAGATGGGGAATGAGAAAAATGCACAGAAGGAGGCTTCCATTGAAGAATGCAAAGCTGGGCTTCAAGGCAAAAGATAAATCACCCAGAACTTATGAGTAGCTAGGGAGATCTTGTGCTTTCTTTTTTATTTCTTTGTTAAGTTCATTTTCTGTGCTCACTCTTAGAAGTTCAAGATTTGTATAGGGGGGAAAAAAGCAATCCAGCACATTAAATCACTAAAAGAGAAGCATAAAATATCACATGGGGTGAGCTAAGTAGAAGCTAGGAACCATCTTTCATATACAGACAAGCACAGGCAAATTACAAACGACACCACTTCTACCAACTGCAAGCAGAATTCATCAATTTTGAATGATAATATATACAGGTGAAACTCGAAAAATTAAAATATCGTGCAAAAGTTCATTTATTTCAGTAATGCAACTTAAAAGGGGAAACTAATATATGAGATAGACTCATTACATGCAAAGCAAGATAATTCAAGCTGTCATTTGCCATAATTGAGATTATTATGGCTTACAGCTCATGAAAACCCCAAATCCACAATCTCAGAAAATTAGAATATTACATGCAATCAATAAAACAAGGATTGTACATAGAACAATACCGGACCTCTGAAAAGTATAAGCATGCATATGTACTCAGTACTTGGTTTGGGCCCCTTTTGCAGTATTGACTGCCTCAATGCGGCGTGGCATGGAAGCTATCAGCCTGTGGCACTGCTGAGGTGTTATGGAAGACCAGGATGCTTCAATAGCGGCCTTCAGCTCTTCTGCATTGTTCAATCTCATGTCTCTCATCTTTCTCTTGGCAATGCCCCATAGATTCTCGATGGGGTTCAGGTCAGGTGAGTTTGCTGGCCAATCAAGCACAGTAATCCCACGGTCATTGGTGCTTTTGACAGTGTGGGCAGGTGCCAAGTCCTGCTGGAAAATGAAGTCATAAAGCTCGTCCGCAGAAAGAAGCACGAAGTGCTCCAAAATCTCCTGGTAGACGGCTGCGTTGGCCCTGGACTTAATGAAGCACAGTGGACCAACACCAGCAGATGACATAGCTCCCCAAATCAACACAGACTGTGGAAACTTCACACTAGACTTCAAGCATCTTGCAGTGTGTGCCTCTCCATTCTTCCTCCAGACTCTGGGTCCTTGGTTTCCAAATGAGATGCAAAAGTTGCTCTCATCAGAAAAGAGGACCACTGAGCAACAGACCAGTTCTGTTTTTCTTTAGCCCAGGTAAGACGCTTCTGACGTTGTTTGTTGTTCAGGAGCGGATTGACAAGAGGAATAGGACATTTGAAGCCCATGTCCAGGATCCATCTGTGTGTGGTGGCTCTTGATGCACTGACTCCAGCCTCAGTTCCCCCCTTGCGAAAGTCCCCAACACTTTTGAATGGCCTTTTACTGACAATCCTCTCCAGGCTGCGGTCATCCCTGCTGCTTGTGCACCTTTTTCTTCCACGCTTTTCCCTTCCACATAACTTCCTATTAATGTGCTTTGATACAGCACTTTGGGAACATCCAACTTCTTTTGCAATTACCTTTTGAGGCTTTCCCTCCTTATGGAGGGTGTCAGTGATGGTTTTCTGCACAACTGTCAGGTCAGCAGTCTTTCCCATGATTGTGCTTCCTACTAGACCAGACTGAGGGACCATTTAAAGGCTCAGGAACCCTTTGCAGGTGTTATGGCTTAATTAGCTGGTTAGAGTGGGACACTTTGAGCCTAGAATATTGAACCTTTTCACAATATTCTAATTTTCTGAGATTATGGATTTGGGGTTTTCATGAGCTGTAAGTCATAATCATCTCAATTATGACACATCACAGCTTGAACTATCTTGCTTTGCATGTAATGAATCTATCTTATATATTAGTTTCACCTTTTAAGTTGCATTACTGAAATAAATGAACTTTTGCACGATATTCTAATTTTTCGAGTTTCACCTGTATATATTTGATTTGCCTTTAAGTTATGCATCTGAAGTTAAAGATATGTAACACAGTATATGATATTTGAATGTTATTCCTAAGATGTATATTCAGGTTTGAACATAACTAAGTGAGCCAGCCCAGAGCCCAGAGCTATATTTAACCCCCCAATTCATTTGCAGCTTAATGATAATGGATGGAAACTGAAAGTGTTGCCCAGGAAAAGAGCCATTAAAATAGATTCAATACACATAATAAAACAATAAAAACATTGATAACTAGCTAACTGGGTGTGAGAGAGATTATTTGTACTTGTGTGTGTGTATGTGTGTGTTGTATACACTAGTTCATGTAACACAACTCCATTTCTACCATCCCCTACCCACAGTGGCCCTTAGCTTCCACAAAAGTTTTAAAGTGTTGTTTCCCTGATCTGCAACATTGCCATCATTGTTTGGCCCTTCTTCGATAACATAAAAAACATTACGTTTGTTTGTTTATCTTTCATTTTAAGGTGTTTTTGTAAGAAAAATTTACTATGGAAAAATCACTATGGAAATTGTACATTGGCTATAAATCAACATGCTTTTAATTGTAGGGTCCTCTAATGAGATACCTTACGCTAGCAGATATATAGTTATGCTTAGAAGATGTATGTGCTGTGTTTTAGTTTTGCGTTACAAACCATAAATGAGATTTCTTGCAGGAATGTTACTACTTCAAGTTACAATCGGTTTGTCCATTTACATACTACTGGTACTAACACTCTCCTATTTGTACCTTTAGTTAGCCCAAACAGTGCGTCACAACACAATTTTTTTTTTGCATCAAGATGTCTCAAATTTGCTAACTGAAAGAAAGTATGCCCCTTTATTCCTGTGTTGAAATACCAAAGGTTGTCATACCAGTTGTATTCACAGAATTGTGGCTGCTGTAGCCTTGCCACAGTCAATTGCCACCACATGATCATGATTTCCAGGGGCTCCCTGCCAGTTTCCCACGATCAAAGTCAATGGAGAAGCCTGCAGGAAGTTGAAAGTTGCCCATGTTCCCACTACTTTTTTGCCTACCTTTGATCATTCTGCATCTCAGATTTAACAGATAATCAGAGTTGGAAGGGACCTTATAGGTCATCTAGTCCAAGCCCCCTCCACCCCAGCAGACCCTACACCATTTCTGACAAATGGCAGTCCAATCTCTTCTTGAAAGCTTCAAGTAATGATGCTCCCACAACTTCCAAGGGCAAGCTGTTCCATTGGTTGATGGTTCTCACTGTCTGAAAGTTTCTCCTTATTTCCAGGTTGAATCTCCCCTTGTTCAGTTTCCATCCATTATTCCTTGTCTGACTTACAGGCACGTTAGAAAATAGCTAGACCCCTTCCTCTCTGTGACAGCCCCTCAAATATTGGAAGACTGCTATCATGTCTCCCCTGGTCCTTCTCTTCACTAGACTAACCAAGCCCAGTTCCTGTAACCGTTCTTCATATGTTTTAGTCTCCAGTCCCCTAATCATCCTGGTTGCTCTTCTCTGTAATTTTTTTAGAGTCTCAACATCTTTTTTATGATGTGGTGACCAAAACTGGATGCAGTACTCTAGGTGTGGTCTTACTAAGGCTAATCTCTATTTCGGTAAAGGATATCTCTGAAAGAAATGACCCAGTGGGTTGCCTAGTGGGGCCTCATTGTTATTCAGATTAGTAGACCATACTTGCTTGTCGATGTGGAACTGCATAGCTGTCCTTATCTTTACCCGATCTCAATTTTTTTTAAGGTTATCAGCTCACATCTGCCGAATGCTACGATCTGAGAAGCAATCGAGTGGTAGCTGACCAATATTGCCACTATTACCCTGAAAACATCAAGCCAAAGCCAAAACTCCAAGAGTGCAACCTAGATCCTTGTCCAGCAAGGTACATCTGTTAACAATTTTGAGACGCTGTTTATACTGAGATACAAACAGGTTAATTATTTTCTTTTAAAATTTCTCAGGGATTTATTAAGATTCCTTAGTAGAATGTGGATAGAATGTTTGTGTTATATTTGGACAACAACAACAGCAACAGCAAAAAGAGTGGCTCGCTATTTATCAAGAGCTTAAATACTTCCTCAACAAGCAAACAAGCTGCAGAAAACTAACGTGGCATAACATAAAAGAAGGCATTTAGATCAGTAGGGTTCTTTTTAATGGAAACGTTTTTGAGTGAACATTCAGATATTTGATTTTTTTAATCATGTCACAAGTACAGGTAGTCCTCAACTTACAGCAGTCTGTTTAGTGACATTTTGAACTTACAATAGCACTGAAAAAAGGGACTTAAGACCATTTTTCACACTTACAACTGTTGTAGTATTTCCATCAAAATTCAGATGCTTGGCAATTGACTAATATTTATGACAATTACAGTGTCCCGGAGTCACGACATCACTTTTTGAGACCTTCTGCCAAGTAAAATCAGTGTGGAAGCCAGATTCACTTCATAATCATGTTACTAAATTAAGATGCTGCAGTGATTCACTTAAACATGGCAAGAAAGGCGGTAAAATAGGGCAAAATTCACAGAACAACTATCTCATTTAGCAACAGAAATTTTGGGCTCAATTGTTGTAGGTTCAGGACTACCTGTAGTAATAATAACTTAGAAAATGAACTAAGCCAGACAATTCACAGATTATACAACAACAGGAGAGATTTGCAATAAAAAGGGGTTTAAAAAATAATATGTTCTATTTTTAAAGTATTTCAGTACAATTTGAAATCATATTTTATATTGATATTTCAGTTTAAAAGTTGAATTAAAACAGAAAGTAAAAAAATAGAACAACATGGAAAGAGATTGTACAAACAGGAGAGATTTAAATTTAAGGCATTATTGGATTCAAAGAAGGAGCATGAACCAAGAAGAGTAGCAACAAAAAATATATGTGGAAAGGACGAGCGGAGCAATAGGAACAGTTTTGCTTTCTGCAGTCTCACTGAAAGAAGTTCTTGTGGCCTATAGAAAATATATCACATTCCATATAAGCCTTGCACAGCGTTGGACTGTCTGGGAAGGGGGAGAAATTACATCAGGTACAAGACTTGGTTAGAGTACAGATGCGATCCATCCTCTGAATTCTGAACAAGCCTGATGATTAGAGAAATGGAGCCCACATTACTGTATTTGCAGATGAACATCTGGCTCTCCAAAAGAGATCAAAGTAGGTGTAGATAATCCCTTTTGCCATTGTTGTTATATAATAGATGACTCACATATTCCATTTATTTCTAAGAATTGATCTTGTTATTTTCTGATTGAATTTTGTACACAGGCTTGATCGTTCAAAGGCAGATATGTTAAGAGAGGTATCTACATGGTGCAGGCTAACTAAGAGATGGGAAGAAAGAGAGATTTAAAAAATACTTCTGAATAGACCCTAGGTATAATGCACTACAGGTCTGTGTGGTTGAGAAAGTTTCGGGTTGTGTACAGGTGATTTTGGGAGAGTAGACAGTAAGTATACAGGAATGTAAAAAAAGCGAATACATGTGCGAACAAATCAAAATGGCACTGACTGCCATTAAAAAAAGAGAGGCATTGTGAAGCTTTTTAAAAGCACAAAGCTTTTTAAAAGCACAAAGCTTTTTAAAAGCACAAATGTTGATAAAGACCTGTCTGACTTTTGCTATCTTAGTTCCAGTTTATGATGAGGTAGCAGATATAGAATCTTGTAGCTGAGGGAACATACATTTATATCATTAGCTGATCCTTTGCATTGGAGAGATTAGTGTAATTGTGTATCGGTTTGCGATGGCTAAAAATAATTTAATGTTAGAAGCATATACGTTCTTTGCAGCAAGAACTTCATTACCAGTAATTTGGATTCTGGCTTCTTCAAGGGGTGGAGCGAAGGAGGGCTAGAGTGGGAAGATTCAAGAGTAGTTGACACTGCTTTGACACAGGGCATAAGAGCTGTGTGCCCTCTCTTAGAGAAGCCTTATCTCAATCCAACCTTATATGAAAAACTATTATCTTGTCTCCAATCTGCCAATTTGGAGAAGATTGTAGAGAAGAAAGTGGCCAAAGAGAGCCTTGGATGAAGTAGATTATCTAAATCATTTCCAATTCAAACTCAGGCTGGACATGGAATCAAAGCAGCAATGATCATTCTGGTTACATGATCTATATCAGAACCTTGAAAATGATAATTCTCCTGCTCCTAATAGGACTTCCAGCAACTTAAAATAGTATTGACCATATTTATGTGGGGATCCTTTCCTACTGTAGTAGTAGTGGTTCCAGTCAATATTCTGGTAGGGAGGATTCTCTACCCTACTATTGTAACAAGTATATGAAACCACTAGGGATGGTCAACCATCAGTTTGAGGTAAGGTATCATTACATTTTCATACCAGTTTAAGTTGATAGTTTTGCTGTTCAGCTATTGGGAGACAACTGCCCATAATCTTTTGACTGTCATCTCTGACCTGGATTGAATGGTACTTCCCCATTCAGGAGTGGTGTGCAACTTGGGGAAGGCTTCCCGGACTGTCAAGGCTTGCTCAATGAACAGGTGATAGCGGTGGCCTGGAAGGCCTTTCTGCAGCTCCATCTGAAGTTGCCCCCTTTCCTAGATTAGGGGACCCTTCAGAAAATCATTCGTGTCCTGGTCACCTCATGGCTCGTCCCCTGCAATGGACTCTGGGTGGCACTACCCTCGAAGATGAGCTGGAAGTTGTAGCTGTTCCATAATGCAGCAGCATAAACAATAATGGGTAGGCCTTGGAGTGCCAGTTTGTTTCCAGGCGCAATTCAAGATCCTGGTTGATTCCTGTAAGGCCTACATGGCATAGGGGCCTGATTACCTCAGAGACCATATATCTCCCATAGTATCTGGTGGGGTTGGTATGTTCTGATTTTTTTTTCAATTCAACAATGCCATTTGACGGGAAATCAGAAGCTTGCCTTCTCTATAGTGGCACCTGCCCTATGGAATTAAGATCTAAACAGCCCCCACTTTGCTAGTATTTTGAAGAGATCTGAAGAGCCTGGTTAGGATGACTAAAGCTTCCTTTTAACCTTGGTTGTTTTCTTTTGTTTCCATCTGGGTTGTAAATTAACTGTAAATGAAGAAGCTTAAGTGCCTGGGACTTATAAAATTCAAACATACAAGCACCTGCCACCTAACATTCCTGACTTAACAATTGCCAGTAAGAAAGTCTGGATAGTGTACATGGCAGTACCTGGAGACAAGAGAAGGGAAAAGAACAAACTGGAGAAAATAAATAAAAAATACAAAGTCCTGCAAATAGAAGTAGAATGGCTGTGGCGAAAGAAAGCACCACTTGAATACAATCAACATTGACAAAATCACCATCAGCCATTGGCACTTTATACTTGGAACAGTTTATATCTCCCAGCAGTACATTTTAAAAATATTTTTACTATTATTATTATTATTATTATTATTATTATTATTATTATTATTATTATTATTATT